AAGTTATATTATATTGTAATAGCTAATGGAGGGGATAAATTGTAATTTCATTACTCATTACTCTAATACACAAAACTTATATTTTGAATTTAACATTTTTACTCAATAAAGAACTTTTAGATTTCATTTAAGTTCTCACTATTACCTATACTAAAAAAGATAATAAAGAGAATGGATACATATTACGATTCGTAGTTCGAATGATTTGATAAAAGTACCATTAGATATTTATTAATAGTAACAACAAAAACGTACACCAAAATAAGTATATAGGTAACTATTTATAAAATAACATTATATTTTACTTGGACATACGACTCAATAACCGAGACCGATTAAACATATAAGTGTAACTGCTCTTCCCACGTTTTTATTTCAACAACTAAAATCAGGAATTAACTATGGAGACGTTTTGGAAGTGCACATATCGCCAGACCCGAAATTAGGGGAACTCCAGCCAAACAAATATACAAGCGTGACTGAAAAAAAATCTAAACTTAGCGACGAACAATTTAAATATAATTAAATAAATATCGCATCACTAGATCGATATAGATATATAGACTTTAGAATTTGACTATGAAATTGAAATTCAGTAAATTATAATTTGTATACAATTGAGCTCGTTGACAACGACCAGACGGACTCGCTGCAATCGATCCGCTCAACAACCTACGGCGTCTTCAGTCAACAATATTATTTTATTATTATCGTACTTTTCTACGATATACTATGGACTAGTATAGACGATATACAGTCACTAGATATGACATATAAATTGCAGTAAGAAAATTATAATATAAAGAGACACACAGTGAATATTTTAACACCGTAGGTACATGCAAGTAATTCCGAAAAATCTTTAACTTCGATGAAGACATATTATACATCCATTTTTAATGTATGGATTTTTTGTTCAGTCTTTGTATACTGTTAAAACCAATGTTCCTGCAAAATGTATAGTACACCACTCAAACTATCTAAACTGTTAATACTTACACGCTTGGTAAATTACAAATATAAATATTGCTATTAAAAAATCAAGAGTTAACACGAAACACACAAGTACGTTTTGAAATTATTCCGAATGAAAATTTCCGCAACAAGTGTTATGCTTTTAAAGAGTAATTGCACTACAAAGTCGGCTGATACCTGGACGTGAGAGCAGACTTAAAATGGCTAGAAGAGTTAACTATTTTTTTTTTTAGTTTGTTATGTTAAGTAAAAAAAAAAAATTAAGTTTCCAGTTACTTACGGTTAAATATAAAAATAGTAACTTGACTTAGTTAAAAATGGTTACATTTTTTTCAAATCAAATATTTATAATCCATGCCAAAGCACAATATGGAAATTTGATTAAAGTATACACTATACAGATAAAATCAAAAACATAATATCTGTAAGTCCATAGATCGAGATCAATTATAGGTGTATTCGTTTTTCGTACCAATTTTTTAACTTTTACTTTTGTAATAATTTAAAAACTTACCCATTAATGTGTATAATGATCCTTTAGGTTATGAGCAACTATGGTATATAATAATAATATATTATGAGTAAATAATATTTATCGGATTAGTTAAAATAATTGAACTATCTTCAAATATACCCAAACATGTTTATTTTGTAGTTCAATATTATAAGATGCAAGCTATCTAATAAGATTTTTTTTTTAGCAATCTAAAAATATTTTAGAAACATAGGCAAACATTTAACAAATCTAAAAATACATTATTTTCAAACTTTTATGGACATTTCAAGTTAAAATTTTACAAAATTGAATATTTATACAAAAATTAACAGTTTTAGTTATTTTGTTGTAATTCAATAATTATTATTTGAAAATCTAAGAGATTTTGAAATTTTCACCAGTACATAAATTATTATTTAATGTATAGTTCGATACAATGACATTTTCAAAAAAATTAGATTCAATTTTTAACTTTTTATTCCAGTAACCCATTTACACTGTTCAACGGTATATTTTATGGTATTGACTTATAACTTATAAGTTAATAATATCTATAGTTATACAATAATAATAATATAATAATTTAACAACAGTAAAATATATTCAATTTGTCTTTGTCCAAAATTAGTTCAACCTACTGCATTACTAATATAAATATAAATACATAATAATACGTATGCTTTGAAAAATAGTCTAACAGACCTTCTCCGAGCAGAACCGATTTTTATGCATAATATGCAATGATTTATCATTCAATTGAAACATAACTCACCCATTACAGTAAGCTACTCAAATACAAGGTGACACCTATATAACAATGCAACAGTTAAAATGGTTCATTTTTTATACACTTTCTATTGAACGTAATTTTCTTGGGACTTGATAATGGATCTCAAAAATTGTTTTTTATTTCATTTTCACGGAACTTTAATCGCTGTACATCATTTAAAAAACATGACGTTTAAAACATTTAATGGAAATTATAAATACATTTTTTTTGATTATATACGATATACATATCATAATAGTGCACAATAAATTGTTTTGTGTTTAAAATGAAATGTTTTTACAGGAACACATATTATTGGAAATGTACAAATCAAAATATATTATCTTCGTAAATACATATGGCATATAAAAAACATACAAAAAAAAATATACGACATTAGTACACACAGTGTACTAAAAACAAATAATGTCATTCGTGCAATGTTTGAAAACTAAATTATTATATAGAAAATTTATTAATTTTCAAGTAGGTATGACATATACAACAGTGTTCTGTTGATCGAGTTTTTTTTTTACAAAGAATTTTCCTTCTAGGAATCAGATATGAATGCACGTATTTCATCCCATCTCATTTGAATTTATATGTAAATATTTATTACAATTACAGATTGGGATTTTTTTAGGATTTGGTTTGCGTGTTGGAAAATTTCAACTTTTCATTTTAAGAAACAATTTTGATATATTTTTTACTAAAAGTTAACTATTAAAGATTATTTTACATTTAACGTATCTAATTATTGTATTTGGTTTCAAGAAATGTGTTTATAGATTACCTATTTTCATAATGGGACCGATGGTTTTTGTTTCCGTTCTGAAATCATTTAAATTACTGCGGCCAAGCACATCGTGTGCCTAACCTTGACCGCTGAGTATTATTGTTTTTCGTATGGAATGATTTATGTTTCAATTCAGATGTAATACGTCCATTACAGTGATCTACTCGATGCCAAGGTAAATTCGACATTTACCATACGGCAGATCGACTTACACGATTTTTCTATTGTCGTAATACAAACGTTTGTAAGACATAAATTACTATTATAGAGTTATAGACAATAAAGTTAGAGCATATATTCACTATTACGATATCATACGACTAGGTAGGTATTTTATTATTGTATAGTAATTTAAATGGTATAAATATTTTTATTTTTATATTTTTCGATAGAAGGCAGAAGTAATTGGTTTTAATATAATTTGTATTTAAAGTGGATATTTAATTGGAAAATCGACTTGCATTTGGTCGTACAATTTGTACAAATAGGGTTATATGTTTAAAACTAAAAATACAAATATATTATAATAATAAATATAAATTGTACAGTTTCGAATTTTGTATAGGTTTCAGTATTCGGTCGTTCACGTCTACACGTTGATTATTTTATTTGAGAATCCATAAGAATACTAAACAGTTAAGTTTCGTGTACCTCTATTATAATCGTATTGCTTTATATTATTCTGATAAATGTTTCACGGGGATTATAGGTATAATAATATACATTCATATTGTGAGAAAATTTTTTTTCCAATCGTCATTTTATTTAGGTGATGTTATAATGTTACATTGCTCGTTACACGTTTTACTTTCAACGGTTAAATATTCATATCTCAAGGTTATTGATGTTTTCATAGAGTTAACTTTAATTTTAAATATTTTTGTTTTCATTTATATTAGATAAAATAAATTTATGTAATCCAGGAAAGTAGTTCAGCTGTATTGTAGTTGTCTACTGTCCGTATGCATAGTCAGTTTATGTGTCACACATGGCATAGTTTAACACGTCTTATGTGACACATAATTTTAGTACCGTATGGTCACTGTAATGTATTTCTAAATTTGAATTCAACGTTAACTCATTACATACCATACTAAAAGGAGACGGTTTATCAACCTGTAACCCTGCATATATGTCTTAGGATATTGTATTATATATTTATATTTATATGAGTCTTTTATTAGTAGATACCTAATGTGGTAGATCGTAGGCTTAAGTTTAACTAATTTTTACAAAAAACAAATTGTATACCTATTATATTATGTGGTGATTTATTATTTTAATAGAATTCCATTATAAGTAGTACTAACAATGAACATATTAAGAGTCAATACCGATGTGCCGTTGAACAGTGTGAACAGGTTCGTAGTATAAATATTCCTTAAAATTACCCTATCTAAATATCTTGAAAATTTAACTGTGTACATAGCAAATACTAATTTACATCGTAAAGAAAAGCCACTCTAAAGTCACTTATATACTAATAATATTTAACTAAAATATTTATTTTTTGTTTAAAAAAGTCCAATGTTCGTCAAAATTAAAAAAAAAAACTGTGCATTTCGTATTTTTAAGATTTTTAAGTTTCTGTGAAATAAAACCTTGTATTATATATTGTTATTGTAATATTTTGCACCCTTAAATATATAATATTTAAATACCAATTACTTGTGTAAGACACTACCTACTTCAAATATTCACCATAGAGATGTTTTAAATGTATCGAATATAATATAAAAATACAAATACAAAAATGTACCTGAACTAGTTGAGCTTTGTTTTATTAATTATTACAACATCATAATGTTGCATTGAAACGACGATTGAGATAAGACAAGTTGCAATAATATAATAGTTAATAATTCAATTATAATACCTAAGTACTATACCCCTATAATATAGGCGCATAATAAACATCAGTACCTATATAATAATATACTCTCTGCAGGTTACCATCAATGGGGCTATTGATTTCTTCTTTGAACACAATCAATAGTATGAAAAGATTGCCCAAAATGATTAAACAAGTACAGTTTTAATAGTCTTATATAAATTAGTACATTTAACCGGCATCGTAAAAATGGACTGCAGGTCGGATTATATAAGGCCGAATACCAAGGGGATATTCGACTAAATGTCCGGAATGGAGAAGGCACAACTCTCTTAAGTACCGCGTAGATCGAAAATCCAACATTTGCTTCAGCAGACGAGATATCTTTATCATCCTGTTGATTTAGTTTTCGGTCGATTGACGTTCCATGGCGGACGGTTTCGGATGCTGAATGGCCGATGGACGGTAATGGCTGTTGAATGGCGACACAAACACAACGCATTACATTAAATTAGACATTTTTACATGCACACACATTTTTTTTCGATTTTAATAACCCATAAAGTTCCATAATCTCAAAAATATTAACTATATAATTATAGTAAGTACCTATATATCTATTGTACTAAAGAAAATACATTGAGATCCGACCAGGACGTAGCGCCGTACGAAATTCAGTATTGATAATCTAATATAATATTCTATTATAGTTACAGGAATAACTGTGAGATTTTATTGTGCCAATAATGAATAAATGTTATGTTTTAAGTATCTGATATGAATCACATGATTTATGGATACATTGATACATAATATTATGATATATATAGCCATATAGGTACTACGTTGTACTGAATATATTATAATAATATTATCTAGTGAATATTATAGTAAATGGTACACATCTATAATATCGTATCGCTTGGAATTTAAATATAAGCACGCGAACGGCATTAATATGTTTTTCATTTTTAATTCTAAATTAATATTTTAAACTATCATTGGGGTTTTTATTTTTGTAAGTATAGTTTAAACTTGTTTTAATCTACTACACGTGTGTAACCACAAAATGGTTTTAACAACAAGATTTACCCGTCTCCTTTTGCTGCAGTTTACACAAACTATTCTCGGGGTAAGTTTAAGTAGGTACAGAGGGTACCTTATTAATTTATATTAGACAACAATTGTATCAATAGTATGATTTATTAACTAACTTCGTTTTTTGATGTGGCTAAGGTATTTATATTAAAAAAAATCTTACAAAAAATCGCACACACAACTAATCTATATATAAAAAAATGGAGCGTGCAAAATTGTCGTTACCTCATCAATCGAGAATAACTACTCCGATTTGGCTCAAATTTTTTTAAGATGTTCGTAATTGTCAGGAGAAAGTTTTTAATGAAGAAAATTTTAGGAAAATAAACAGGAAAAGCAGGATATCTGAATGTAAAAAATACAACAGTGTATCATATTATATTGGTTGCTATTGGTTAATTGGGCATGTTTCTTGATTTGTATTATTATTCTTTTGTCGATATATATATATATATATATACATATAAATTAATTTTTGTGTGTAGATTAGACCTCTGGGAAAAAGACAGACTAATTTAAAAATGGTTAAATTTGTTTTTTTTTTATTCATCTGATATCAGTACGGTTAGGTTATTTAGGTTAGGATTTTGTAGTAATTGATTTTATTAATCCACCATAGGTGGAATACTACAAACTTGGTATAACTTTTATACTTTACAGTTAAATCGTACACTTACGTACAAACAGCCCGGGGGCCGCGATCTACCACACATAGATTGTCTACCTGATAATATACTGCTACGAATCAGAATTTTTATTTCCGGAAGCGGAAAAGTCAAGATAAATTTTGAGCACCATACACCGAATATTAAATAACGAATTTAACAAAGTTTGAGTCATATATAGTTGGTACATTTAAAGGGCAACGAAGTGCACGGGATCAGCTAGTTATAATATATAGGTAGCTAATTGTATTCATAAAGATAAAACGATTGTATTTCAATACACTGCACTATTGTTTATTTATTGTAACAATAAGTTGATATAATATATTATTTATAATTTCTAAAACCGTGAAAATCCTAATGTTAATCGATTTTCTTTCTATTGTCTTTATTTGTGTACGATACAATATTGTTTAAAACGTTTAAATTTAAATGAAAATACGATAGTGGTAAAATATGGTAATTACACCATAAATACCTATATAAACTGCAATAATATATAGTGTTTAAAACATGCTGGAATTATAAATATTGTATTTATATTTATTCCGAACATGAATGTAAATCAAGAAAAACTCGGCCGAGCTGCACAAATACTGACGGTTGGGTTTTCTCATGCCTTTAATTTACACTGCATTATTATATTATAACTGCACATGAAATATAGTTATTGATCCAATATCTTAAGAAAAGTTGTCTCGTGCACTTAACTTAATAATGAATAATTTACAAGTTTACTTATTAAAAATTACAAAACATTTTCTTTGGTGAACGAATAAAGTTTACTTATTTTTCACTTTTACAGCATAGCAACATTTGCCAACAATTATATGTTTGATAAGATAAATTTGGTAAGATCTTAACATTAGAAATAAACTCAAAGTTTATATTTAAAAAATAAAATCACATTCGTTTCTACTAGATTCAAAAAATAATCATCTCTGATCTTCGTGGGAATCTACAGGTCAACCAATATTCATATTAGATAGACCAATAGCCCACCCCAACCTTCTTGACTCGTAGAAAAAGTAGCGGATTTTAAAATCTCGTTACCTAAACGTGGTAATATTTGTTTGGGCTTTTTAATGTTTAAAAATAAAGAATGATTTATTATATTTATAATGTATGCATATTCTAAAATGATAAAAATATAAACACGTGAGAGGTACTGTGTAATTGTTTTTTTAAATTCTACAAGTTACCTAAATATTAATAACAACACGAGTTCTGCTCCGAATGTATTATTATTTTCAAACGTGATAATTCATCACTTTCGTATTTGAAAAGGGTATATTTTGCCCTTAAGCTCACCCGATTATCGTTGTCTCGCAGGGGAAAAAAAACATTAAATTACCCATACAACGACCTTAGTTCCCCTGTATTATAATTTTCATTATTATTATTTTCACGTGATACATCGCTAACATAGTAAAATATAAAAATAAGTTTAAGCGAACGTTGACCGGCGAATTCTGCATATAATAATATTATTATAGTACCCATAGCACACATACGTCGGAGCCTCGGAGGAAAACCATTTTACCGGCTGTGTTATCTTTAAGTATATTAATATTAAATTTACATAATATCGGTGGTGTACCTACATATTACACCTACGGTGGTGGTTTAAGTATGAAATGGTGAATTTAGATGTTTGTAACATTAAAGTCTTAAAAGCAAAAGTGTGTCCTATGCAAAACGATTTTCAACGAATAGTGCCGATACTGCATTAAATATTTTACCTATGTATTTTTAAGAAAATCAATAATTCTAAGAATAAATTACATCGGAAAATATTAGATAAGTATTCAATATCATTGTCGTACTAAATAATATTATTCGTCTTGCATTAAACAATTTAAATATCTGTTATAATCTATGATATGTGGTTTCGCGCATGTGAACGAACCATTGTTTTTATTGTTCATACTTTATAAAATCTTACTGGTAAACTACTCTATAAATTATAGCCAAGTAGAAATAGGCGATTTTTTATCTTCCAAATATTAAAACTGATAAAGTTTTCTATAATGTCTATAAAGTCAAAAACTTGTATTTTAGCAAAACTTTTAAAACTGTTGTCAGATTATTTCATCAACTATACTGGCAATTTGATAATGTTATGGACCGATATAGTGAATAAACTTTTTTCTAAATTACATTTTTGTCATTGTCTTTTCGAAAAAAAAACTAAGTATTTTAAACAAATTGTATTACATTTTAATGTGTTAACTTTGGTGTTTTAGTAGTTCTGGCGTAACGTAAGTTTCAACTCATAACCAACCCTTCGACGTAAAACTTAAAAAATTACAGCATTTTGAAGATTTCGTGAAAAGTTGTGACATTTTTGAGATTTAAAATTTAAAAAAAAAAATGGAAAACAGTTAACCACTATGCTTTACAGTAGATAAATATATAGTATAATTAGACATTAAGCAAGTCATTGTAATATATTTATATATGTGATAAATATTTTAAATTAAATTAAAATAATTGCATACAAAATAAGATCCTGATTAGATACAACAGTCTGTATCGGCCATGTTACTAAGTAATATGTATATATTTTCATAATTTGATTTTAGATTCTGAGAGGAGCGAAGAAGCTAGTGGTTTTACAATGGTGTTTATTATTTTATTTTTTTTTTATATTCTGTATACAAATTATCTACCTGAAGGAGTTCTTCGATTTCAACATTTAGTACCTTATCTTTTAGCAAATTGTATCAAGATGGTACTTTAGAAAGGTTACTTTTCGATTTTCTCAGTAGTTATTTAATGCAATAGGAAAAACCACCTACAAATTATTAAAAACCTCTAATTTTAAGGGGTAAGATTTACTCATTATTGTTGATAGTGTTACGCAACTGTGAAGGCGTTAATATTATTGATATACCTACTGTAAATTTATGATATTTTAAATCTTACCCCATAATATTTCCAACATATATTTACACAATGATGGCTATGGACACACCCGAATATGTCTCGGGTTCGGTTATAGTATCGCATTTTGTTATCGCTTTAACCACATTAATCACAGTGTGTATCAAAGTAAATGAGTTACAACTTTAAAACCAACCTAAAATAAATTTAGTATACATATAATATGCATGATGGGTAACACATACAATGAATATTTTTAAAAAACATTAAGTTTAAAGTTTGTCTGTCCATTAGGTTATAAGTTTATAACGATATTTTTATTGTACGATTCGTACACCGTTATACCATTGATGATTTAACGCAAGAACATGAACTTAATAAAACTTAATTTTAAGTAAGTATACTTATTATTACTAGTTGAAACAAACTTATCGAATCCATACCGCCCACTTCAAGTGTTGGAATGCACGCATTGTATCAGATTTTACAAAAAATATAGAAGCTAATACAGTGTTCTATAGCGTCAGTGGGTAACATTGTATTTGTTTTATTGAGTTTAAAGATAATATTTTGTCTTAGACTCTTTACTTAACGATCATTATGCATGTTCCGACGTTAACTATAATCTATAATGACTAATTAATATTATTTGCTTTAGATAATCGAACTATTTTTTGACAATATTAAAGTAAATAGTACGTCACTACAAGAGGGAATTATAATTTAATTTGTTGGTACCTACAATAGGTACACATCTAATTGAAATAGCAATGGAGACAGTTTTATCAATAACCAAAGACAGTTTTTTATTATAAAATTAATACATTTATTTATTTGGTTATCGTTATGAGTA